TCTCGTTGGTTATTTGCACATATAATATATGTCTAGGGCACTTCCCACCTTCATCCTCTGATGATTTACTAATGTAAATTTTATATGCATAGATATAAAATCTTCAATACATAGAAAGAGAAAGGACATATGAGCATATGACATATCGACATATGCTTAGCATATGACATATGCTAAGACAAAGAAACATTATTAAACTACTAACAATGGTTTAAACATTGATTCTTTGCATACCATAATGTACAAAACTTTAGTAAGTCGTAAAAATCATGTCTTTAGACCACAGTCATATCAGTTTGCAAACAAGAAAAAGTTACCGAAATATTGGTGCTTAAACATTGACCGTCAAAAGGTATAAAACACAAAAAAACCTGTACATATTTGTATAGGACACGAAAAATATATACGATATACAATTGATAATGCAAGAAAATAACGCATGATTAAATATATATTGCGTAATAAAATACGATAATTTTATATCCATGGATTATAATAATTAATGATAATAATTATAATCATGACAAGCCATGATCCTTCCACTGCTGAGCTCCGTGCTCAATGCTCAAAAGCGGATGTAGCTGGTGTAGTGGTATAAAAATAATATTGTTTTCAATAAACATGTATTTTACCACTTTATAATGGCTTTATTTTCTCCGGTCACTTTTACAATCTAGATTTATTCAACTCAAAATATCTTTATTCATGTAGATCTATTACAGACTCTTACAATATGTCAAATCTACCGTCAGTTCGGAATGATTTCAAGCTGAGATAAACTGACAAGCTTACAAGCTCAAGACTCAACTCTTATTCTTTTCAATTGAGAAAAAACAAACACTCGTTTCTTATATTGACTTCACAAAATGTAAATAATTACTAGTTTAGTTTTGTGTGGCAATCTACCAAAAAGAATGGAACCTGGAACCAACAACAGAGCTGGTGCGGCATGTGAAGCGGCTGAAAAAGCCAAAATATGTAAATACAGGGGTCTAGGCTCCGAATATGAATTTGTTCCATTCGGTGTCGAGACCCTTGGTCCGTGGGGTCCTAGCGCTATAAGACTCTTCAAAGAAATAACGAAAAGGTTAGTCGACATCACAGAAGACCGAAGAGCTGGCAGCTACCTTGGACAAAGAATTAGTCTAGCTATTCAAAGAGGGAACGCTGCCAGTATCTTCGGAACGTTGCCTAATGGGACCACTTTTAATAATATATTTTAGTTATCATATTCTATTTTTTTTTTTTATGCTTTTTATTTTAGTTCTTAGTTGTACAATTAGGTTATGTAAATACTAGTTATATAATAATATTAAAAAGAATATTTTCTTGATTTTTAGAGCCCTTAGACTGTGAAAAAAAAGAATTATAAATGCCTACATATTAAATTTATAATTACAGTACCTAATCATTATACTCGTAAACGCTTCAAGGAACTGGTCTGCTCTGTTAACTATGACTAATTTATATTGCTACTCAAGTGTCTATTATTTTGTTTACTTTTGTCAATATTACTACACGGCAGTTTGTATTCACACAAAATCCTAAATGCATTACATATGCAGAACAATATTGATTTAAAAGAACAAACATGTTAATTTAGTGCTCATTCTTGTAACTAGTCTGCTTTCCGAATGAGTGGTAGAATAGAAAATATAATTGCCAATTCGAAAATGCTTATAATAAGTTTATTTGAATAAAGATTATTTCTATTTCTATTTAGTCGGAATGTTAGTGGAATGTTTAGGACTTTCGTTTAACTATATATTTGTACTTCGTTTATTTGCTTAGTCATACGAAATCTTAGAAGAAAGAATCGAAGAAGAAATGACACATTGCAACATTACACAGTCACCATATGTTGTATGAAAATATATAAATACTTTATAATACATACACAATTAAAATTAGCATTGCAATTGAGCAAGCTAATGCAAACCGCATGTTTTGAATACCATACGGACATTCAATACCAATAATCCTACAAAAATGTTACTCCAAAAATTTCAACTTAAAAATTTTACTTACCAAAAATTTAATATTAAGCAATAATTTTACAAATACATTATTGTAGTGTATACAACTCTTCAATTGTATGTTCTATACACTCTAATGAATTATTTTATTCATACATTTGTATAATAAATAATAAAAAAAATTACTCACGTTTCGATAAACATTTTGCACAAAAACAATATTAAAATATCAGGTAAGTAATAAATATCCACTCAACAACTTCACTCGTAAACCGTCAACGCGCAACTAAACATTGTCAAATTAATCTCGATAATATAAGTTGATTTATCGGCGACCGGTGACTGATAAGACTTATCAATAGCTTACAAGTGTTACAACAGGTAAAATATGATATAATTGCCGCTAAGAATATATGACTCGGACAAATTTTAATAAGATACGGATCATTTCTTTCTACGTATATTTGATGTGTCACCCACGCTGGTATTTGTCGTGAACACACGTCTCATTAGATATAATCAAATACAGGATAAATAAAAGGTATATTTGTGAATATAATATAGTAGAATAAGGGGAGGAGACTGTTAGGAATTGTAACTATTATTAGATTCACACATTTCTTCTAATTATTACTTGTTTTAGTGTACTCAGGGACAGTACTAGCTATGCAAATGGGCAAACATAGTGTGCACTCCCTGCAGCTATCTGCCTCCTTCACCTAGGTGAAGCGACCACACACTAAGGTTGCGGGTAACTGTAGGCTCCTTCTGCTAGGTTGTTATCTTACGGAAGCAGACAGCGTAGAGAGAGGGAGAGTCTGATCTTTCCGCTCTACTAATCCGCCGCAGAAGAAGAGTCCGACCTAGAGGCGTGGGGATACAAAACTCCGCCATAACTGACCCATTGGGTCAGGGTGTTTGTCTTGAGGTAAGTAGTGCCCCAACTAAAGGGACCGGAGGCGTGTGTGTTTTGGATACAACACACGCCTTCACGCATCCACAATGGAGCAGGGCGAAATATGTCGCTCTACTAACGAGATGAAGCCTGCCCTACAAGCATACCTCTTTACTTCCGACGGTTGCTCGTTCGATTCCTCGCACTGTACAATTTTTGCTTAGCTTGGGATTTGATGCCGCAGCATAAATTATACAGAGTAATTATCATTATTATTATACGACCACGTGACCGCTCTACTATTATGAAATGTCCCAAACTATTTATTGGTACAATAAAAGTTACATTACTCTGTACCTACTTGTTTACCCGCCAAGATCCGTGTAGAAACGTTGATTAATTGTCATAAAGTGATTATCTAATCTGGGCAATAACATTGTACCAGTGGAAACATCAACAGGTAATTGTTATTTATATATATGCATAATAAATACTATCAGTGTTATTAAAAATGTAGTAAACATTATCTGTACTACTGATGTGGACCGCGGAATTGTTTTAATACTGATTGATTACGTATGAGTAAGTTATAGTTCCGGTTAATTCTCGTGTGATTAATATATTCCTTTGACGACCTCGGTGGTCTAGCGGTCTAGCACAGCGCTTTCCGTCCGATGGTCGCGGGTTCGATTCCTCGCACGGCACAAACATTTGTATTCATGAGTATGATTGTTTGTATCGGTCTGGGTATTTTCTATGTATAATATGTATGTATTTACGAAAAAAAAAATTATCTATGTATTTGTATCAGTTGTCTAGTACCCATAACACAAGCTTTAGCTAGCTTAACTTGGGTCTAGATGGCGCTGTGTGAATTGTCCTGAGATTATTATTATTATTATTTTATATATATATATATATTATATATCTCCCATAGATGGGGCAATAGACTGATCATTGCGGGTAAAAATCACCAAACAATGACAGTATAAATTATGAATGAGGATGGATAATTATTATTATTATTATTAGGATAAAACCCCCATGGAGGTCTGCCCGCCCTGGGGAGGAAAATAGGGAGTCAGTGTAATGTTGTTTTGTTGATTTAATGTACTTTATGCATAATTAAAAATATGCCATCTGCACTGTCTCTCTATATAAATTATTAAATTATAATCTATTGCTTTTGCAATAGCATATACTGGAGGTCACTCTATTCCCTCAAGTTTGAATTTAAAAATTAAGCTGCATTTTGTAAAAATAAACAATATTAATTTGAAAAGAATATGAGTTCTTGAGTATCTTGTCAGTATCTTGTCAGTTCTTCTCATCTGGAAATCATTCCGAACTGACGGTAGATTTGACATATCATAAGAGTCTGTAATAGACCTACATGAGTAAAGATATTTTGAATTTTTTTAATTAGTGTGCGAAATATGAAAGGGTCCTGGTTTCACCAGTATTATTATTGTAAATAATATTATATTAATATAATTAAAATCCTTCAGGACCTATTACTTGTAGATACTACAACTGTTGGCAACATACCTCCGCGAACTCTTGAATTACTGATTTAATCTTATTGTGTTTTTATATATGAGCCTAAATAAATTAGTGCTGGTTGGTAGTTTGTATTCACACGTTTCGACTTGTAAAATGTGAACTTACAAGGATTGTTTAAAAGAGCAACACACAAGTTTCTTGCTTATTCTTCTTGTGATGAGACAGCTTTCCAAATAAGCGGTAGATTTAAAAAAAATGTTGACTATTCAAAAGTGCTTAAATTAAGTGTATTTGAATAAATGATTTTCTATTCTATACTATTCTAATTTTTATTATTTTTAAATTTATATTTTTAGAACTGGTCTTTTTATAAGTCATGTTTTAGATACATTTCATTTGTTATCTTACCGTAGTACAGCTCCATTAAATTATACCATTATAATTATGTGATTTGTTCATTTAGAGCACCAAAACAGTCCATCGATCCCTTTCCGCATATTGTCACATGGGGCAAACCTACCGCAGTCTCTGGGAGTTATTTTTGGCGTGTTATCAGTGTTTCCCTAACCGGAGAGTCAGTCAGAAATTTCTATGTCAGTCAAAAATGAGAAAAATATGGTACTCACGTCTCATTTTCGTCTATAAACATTTCTGTGGCCTTCTACAACCTGAAACAAAATATACAAAAATTAAATCAATGAAATATAAGTTAAGGCAAAATTATTGTCAATAATAAGGACCGTTTTGCTTTATATTTTCGGCAAATTTTACAGTAATATTTGTAACAAATGTCGCGACAATAATTAATAACAAATTCATGAAATTTTTATACTCAAATATTACAATAAAATAGTATAACAATTTAGTTATTAGGACCAGCGCAACTTCGTCTGCCTTACATTCTACCAGTTTCTTCAACTTGCAGCTTCGCTCCTAATTATCATAGCGTGATGTTACATGTGTAAGTAGCACTAATTAATGATGACGACTTTAAATACTAGATGGCGCTATTTACAATATTTGTAATAATCTTCACATTGGGTACCTCATTAGTACTAAACACGAACTACCTTCTTTTAACATCTTTTTAAAATATCGGATTTTTACTACAATTGTCATCAACAGTTATTCACGATTACTATTGATGTGAACTCTAACATATATAGCCTAATATATAATTATATAGTATAAAATAAAGTCTGTCCGTCCCTATGTATTTATCTTTAATATTTTGAAGCGGTTTTTTTTTATAGATTCTAGACGAAGGTTTATATATATAATACATGTACAACCGGGCAAAGCCGGGGTGGTATATTTATAAATGTACTATGATAAGATGATGCAACAATATAAGAATATTCAAAATTGCATCAATAGTTCCGGATATAACCCGGATCGTCCACACCCATAAATGTTACCTCTTTATAATATTAACTTTTGCCCGCGGCTTCGCTCGCGTTAATTTATCCCCTTAGGGGTGGAATTTATCAAAATCCTTTCTTAGGGGATGCCTACGTCATAGTAGCTTTATGCATGCAAAGTCTCAGCCCGATCGGTGACAAATTGTCAAAATTTCATATAAGCTTTCATCCCCTATTTTATCCCTTTGGGGGTAGAATTAATCAAAATCCTTTCTTAGCGGATGCCTGCGTCATAATATCTACCTGCATGGCAAATTTCAGTCCGATCCGTCTAGTAGTTTGGGCCTTGATAGATCACTACGTCAGTCACCTTCGAGTTATATATATGTATAACAAACGTTGTTTTGCTATATAAATTAAAATCGTTTTTATTACCTTCTTCTAATTTTAATACATTCTATCAAAGGGTGAAAACTTACGGTAGTATGTATTTTAATGCCCCATTATTTAAAAAAAAAAATTACCAAAAAAATTATAAATAAAATGTTGGGGTGGACAACCCTTATCACTTAAGGGTACGAAAAATAGATAGTAGCCGATTCTCAGACCTACTGAATATGCGTGTAAAATTTCATAAAACTCGATCAAGCCGTTTCTGAGGAGTATGGTAACTACGACACGAGAATTTTATATAGAATATTGTATAGTATATCATAAAGACGGCCAAGTTCATCGTCTTCGTATGAATGTATGCAACATACATTTGGTATTTGTCATTGAATGCCTCGGTACATGATTATGAAATAAATAATAACAATAAGAAAACAATGCCCAGTATAATATTTCCTATACTTATGCCGTTATGTTTTATGATAAAGTATAAACAGTTTTATATTATACTAGCTTTTGCCCGCGGCTTCGCTCGCGTTAATTTATCCCCTTAGGGGTGGAATTTATAAAAATCATTTCTTAGCGGATGCCTACGTTATAACATCTACCTGCAATCCAAATTTCAGCCCTATCCGTCCAGTGGTTTGGTCTGTGCGTTGATAGATCACTACGTCAGTCACCTTTGAGTTATATATATTTAGACTAGCTGTACCCGCGAATTTGTCCGAGTGGAATTTAACTTTATTTTTCTAAAATAAAAGTAGCCTAAGTCACTTCTTATTATATCAGCTACCTGTCAAGAAAAGTCCCGTCAAAATCGAGTCAGCCGTTTCAGAGATTAGCCAGAACAAACAGAGAGACAGACAAAAATTGTAAAAAATGTTATTTGAAACCTCTGAGCCAGACCCTGAGAAAGGGTATGGGTTACTGTGAAACTGGTTTTAATGCGAAAAAGGGTTGAATCCCCTAGATTAAAGGTTGTACGGAAACATCATCATTTTTAAAGCTAGAAGCCTGAAAAATATGTTTGTTTGTAAAAATATTACCCCCAAGGCGGTAAAAGACAATAGGCAATGAAAGTTTGTATGGAAACTCGTCATATCTCAAGCTAGAACGATGAAATAATGACTCAACATGGAATTTCACAAGTAAAACTAATAGATTAACTGAAAATACATATTCAATACAAGCAGTGACGTGACGACGGCGGGTACAACCTGATCACCATAGGGTTTACTTGTAAATGTGAATAATGCCGTGTATATATTGATTCTGAGATGTATTCTTAATTTTTTCAAATACTTAACAAATACACAAATGCTTAACATACTGAATACGTAATTTGTGTTTTTCCATCATTTTTTTCCATTCAGTCTACACTTTTCTATACCTAGTGTAAAGTCGTTCTTTTCGTTTATTTTCCCCGCGATTACTTCTAAACTACGCAATGGTATTCAATATTATTTCAAGAATTTCTTGCGGAAGGTTCATGCTTTATTCATTACTATCTGTACCCGCGACTTCCGCGTGGAATTTAACTTTATTTTTCTAAAAAAAAATAGCCTAAGTTACTACTTATTACATCAGCTACCTGCCAATAAAAGGATCAAACAGACAGAGAGAGACGGACAGACAAAAATTGACATATGCATGTATGTAGTAAAAACCGGTTATTTCAATATTACAAACAGACACTCAAATTTTATTTATATGTATAGATTGCACTTTTAAATACAGTAGTAAACTTAAATATATACAGAGTGAGTAAAGGTGGACTTATCTCTAAAAGAGATCTCTACCAGTCAACCTAACATTGAGGCATAGCTATTAACACATGTGCAACTAACAATATAATGATGAAATGTCTAATATTTAAGATAAAAAGCATTTAAAATTCAATAAATTAAATAATGTTCTAATTATATTATAGGTTTATATGTAGTACATGCATTATACAATTTTCATCATATACATACGTATATATATCTATATATATATATAGATATAGATATATACGCGTATCAATGCTAGGTAGATCGCTAGTTGACTAAAAAAACTAAAACCTAAACAGTCGATTCAGCTTTTAGTAATAATTAAAAAGAGTACATAGATGTTTTTATTCATTTAATATACTATTTGTGCATAAAAAAAAAATTACATTCTGCACTTCTTTATATAAGCTATAAGTTTGCGAGAATTCCTACTACTCCGTCTAATTTTCATAAAAAGGGGTACAAAGTTTTCGCTTTACTTATATATTATTTAGAATATTTTAGAGATCCAAGAACATAAGGACGCAAAAACAGAAAGTCAACAAAAATAATAATAATAACAAAAAACACAGCGCCATCTAGTCCCACGGTAAACAGAGCTTGCGTTATGGGTACTAGACAACTCATAATTAAGTACTTACACAATATACCACAATATACATAGAAAACACCCAGATCAATAAAAACAATCAATCATGAATACCAATGTTTGTGCCGTACGAGGAATCAAACCCGCGACCATCAGAAGTAAAGCGGTGTACTAAACCGCTAGACCATCGAGGTCGTCGTCGGAACAGAAATGAAATGGTATCAAAAACATTATTTGTGGATAACATTGAAACAATAAACAATCGTAAACGAGTGTCGCCGCCTGAGACGAGTCCCAGCAAACTAAATTTAGCGAACTTGCAAACAAACACATGTGTTTTAGTAACTAGGTCTTGGAAGCAGCAAGAATGCGCTTCTTTGTTCGTTAGACTATGTGTTTGTTCAGTGAAATGTTATCGTAATGAGATAATGTCCTTGTTATATGTGTGTTATGATTACGATCTGTCATCTTTAATGAAATTTCATTACGAGTCCTGACACCTTATGCCTCAGAAAGAGCAATATGTGAGGCACTTTGTTTATGGGTAACTAGGTAATCCTGCGTCTGCGTCCACGTGGAATAGTGACCGTGATAAAGAAAAAAAAAAATCATAATCTAACCCAAAACAAACAAATTCATCGCTGTACTTTAAAAAATTACGAATATTTTATTTTAGTTCACAAACTTTTAATGTCATATATGTACTCATTATATGTAATCAACAGCCTAAAAATAAATAATTCAAGTAACATCATATGTACTGTACTACTGTACTGTAATTCGCAAATAAATTATTTCATTTCATAGGATACCCATAGAGGATATAGGATAGGATATAGAGGATATAGGATATAATTAACTATATCATTCTACCTTCTAAGCCGTTACTATCTATATATATCTATTAGATTATAGATGTCGTCATGTTATTAGACATTAGACATGCAAATACAATATTACTCATATATTTGTGTAGGTACAATTTTATCGTAAAATTATATAATTCTAAATATCAAATTTCTTTATCGCCATTGTGTTGTGACAGCGTATTAGTAACGTGTACAAATTGATTAATCCTTATCATTACTGATTTTATAAACGTGGACGATTGTGTGTATATTTGTTCATTACCTCTTAATAATTATCATAAAATAAATACGCTAGGGAAATAAACAAAAAAAATATTTGCATAAATAGAAAATCTTGTAGGTGATACTATATTTCGTATGTAGCTTTATTACTTTTTATAATATGAAATATACTAAAAAATAAATAAATATGAAAGACTGAACACATGTTTAACTACTTTCCGCGATCTTCCATCGTGTTCTTTAAATGTTGATACTCCACGACTCCAATTTTGTCTTTATTTTTTCTAAAATAAATTATTTTTCTAAAAAGTAGCCTAAGTTACTCCTTATTACATCAGCTACCTGCCAGCCATTCCAGAGATTAGCCGGAATAAACAGACAGACAGACAGACGAAAATTGGAAAAAATGTTATTTTGGTGTATGTACCGTATCATATGCATGTAGTCAAAAACGGTTATTTCAAT